GAAACATTAAAAGGATTTTGAAAAAAATATGTGCTTCTGATAGATTACCCATGTCTACCAACTTCATTATTGCCCTCTAAATCATGACCATATAAATATGCCAGTTTAAATGGCAGGGGGCTGAGGTGTTTTTGTCATCATCACCCACTCACAAGCACTGTCACAAAAATATGGCATGGACTTTAACTGAGACTCCTATTCAAAAAGAGAACTTTAGGCAGTGGTTTTCCAAAAGAAGAAGGGTAACTGTTCTGTGGAGAATTCTTACATGTGGATGTAATGAAGAGCTAATTAAAAGATAACGCTTCCCTGTTCCAAAATGGGTGAGGTATTTATTCCATATTCCTTTTTTTCTTTTATTGAATTCAAGGCATTTAAATGTTTGTCTCCAACCTTTTCCATTCACCTACTAAACAGATCCCTTAAGCAAAATAGGTTCTATCCCTCAGTGTCAGAATTAGCCATCAGTGTGGAAAAGAAGATAACATTGACTTAAGTCAGGACATTAAAAAAACACAAACGGTTTACTGAAGGTTCATCCACATGCCAGAGGTCTGATTTGTGCAGCAGCACCAAATTGCCAGCTGAAATATATACTGACTGAGGAATTCAGTTCATAGCAGCATCACCCTCAGCCTCAAGCCAAAAATCTTTTTCTTTTGTTAGACTGAGGCTGGTTCTAGTTCACCATTAAAAATGTCACCCCATCTCAAAAGGCCGTAATAACTATACTCTAATCATGATGTTCTGGAGAGATCATATTATACCACCTCTTCGGACAAGGCAATTTCAATAAGAGTTTAAAGAACAACAACAATAATAATAATATGATAACAGTGACCAAAGGTCAACCACAACTTCAAAAGCAACCATTTCAACTGCCAATGCCCTAAGAATATTCAAGGATATTCAACTTGACCAATTAGCTTCCTTTTTAGACCATTTTCTTGCATGGGACATAAATCCCCATGGAAGCGTCTATCACATTATTTATATGATGTCTCATCTTAGCAAACGGGAGCCATCCTGGACAGTGTAGGTGTTGTGTTCATATTTCCAGCCCCGCTGAAATAGGGACCACCAATGGGAGCATTGGGGAAACCAACGATATTCAACAGAGTGCCTTCTTGGTAGTTGCCCCCAGGTTGGGAATCTCCTTTTTGTGGCAGCCTGCACAGGCCCCTTTCCCACTGCCCTTCTACGGGTGTGCAAGTACATTTTTATTCATGTGAGCTTTTAGTTATTAACTGATTCCTGTGGAAGGGGCTTTTAATGGGTAGGTATTCTCATATTTTTAATGGATGGGATTTTGGACCACTGGGTTTTAATATCACGATTTGTGCAAATACAATTTAATATACAATTATTTGATCTTTTTAGTGGCACCTTTTTAGCTCATCTTCTTATGAGTTGCCTTGAGCCTCAATTTGGGGGAAAAGCCAATGTCCCATCATTAGGAATGGAATTTTTGCAGGTGGAATGACTGGGCAGAAATACATCTGAATATGCATCTCGACTCAGAAGGAATCAGTACTTTATTGACTTATTTATTTTTATTTATTTGAATTATAAATAAAAATAAATAAGTCAATAAAGTACTGATTCCTTCTGAGTCGAGATGCATATTCAGATGTATTTCTGCCCAGCCATTCCACCTGCAAAAATGCCATTCCTATTGATGGGACTTGTTCTAATAAAATGCGACATATAAATACTCATAATGGCTACATCCCCCAAATGCATCAACATGAGACCAAGGGTTTTTCCCCCTGAAGAGATAAGTACAAAAGAGCTGTGAATTCTATGTTATTTGCATGGATGTCTTTGGACAGAAGAATGGTGTATGCATAAAAATAATTATATATATAATATATTCAGGCAAGGTAAAAGAAAATGAGTTGTGGAAAACGTGTCATTGGGATCTCCCTTTTTTTAAAAAAAAAGCTAAAAGCAGTTTCATAGACTCAGCCTTCAGACTAGCCACCTTCCACATTTAGGTGGGCTAATGTGCTGAGGGTGGCAAAGTAATGGCCCTTCATTGCCACCTGTCCAATAGGCTGTCTCCAGAACAAAATTATGGAGAAATAAGAGTATATCCATTATTGTTCTCATGGATTTTTTAAAAAGATGCTTGTAGTAAGAACTCCGGGAAACAGTGGAAGACAGGAGGGCCTGGCGTGCTCTCATCCATGGGGTCACGAATAGTTGGACATAATGACTAAACAACAAAAGTAAGAACATACTGTAAATATGCTTTCAAATGAAAGAGGGATAAATCTGTTCTAGATATGACCTCGGCAAGCTTCATGATCCTAGAGCAGCACCAGAAAAGGGCAACGGTAAAACCCTTTTGAGCACTGTATACCTAGAAAAACCTGGAAATGGTCACCATAAGTTGACAACAGGTAATTATTATTAAGACACGTCCAGATTTGCTCCTCTTCGCCCTTCTCTTTCTCTTTTAAAAAACAGTACCTATTTGAATCTTTAGATCTCTTATACTTTGCTCAAAGTTGTGTCATCATCCTTTTCAAAAGCTTGGAGAGTAGAAATCCGGCTATATATTATTTGTTTTTAAAGCGAAGCTGCAGTCCTAGGCAAGCATGTAGATATCTCACTGAGCATAATGACCCTAGTCAGTTATGTCTTGTCAAGTTGAAACTGACTTATAGTGACTCTAATGGGGCTTTCAAGGTACGTGAGGTATTTAAGGAGTGGTTAAACTCACCCCCAGTAAGTTTCCATGGCTAAGAAGGGATTTGAACCCTGGTCTCCAGTCCCAATCCAGCCTTACTGTCATGTAAACATGAATAATATCAAACTATACAAGGTATTTTTCAAAATCTATTATATGTAAACACAATATTATATAGTGTTCTTACCTGTGAACTGTGATGATTCAAAGAAAGAAGCAAACCTGTTCTGAAGTGGGAACAATCTTCTTAAAACATCTCAAAGTGGAGGGGGAGTATTTATAAAGGAGTTCTTGTTAAGTAAGGAATGTTTTCACTTAAAAAGAGGAAGATTTTTTTTTCTAATATCATGTGGAGTGTCTAGTAAAAGATACCCATACTATAATATATTACAATACATACAAAGCATATACAACTTGTTAAATACATATTTCAGTATGACCGTGTTAGCCTATTTACTTTTAGAGGACAGCAATATATGTCATAAATTAAGAATAGTTGTTCCCTTCACTTGTCAAAAGATCTGTCTAGATTTACAAACAGTTTTGCGATTCAAGGTCAGGAGGGTGCAACAATTGGAGCAGGCTGTTGCTTTTATGCCTGGGTTATCACAAAATGAACTGCACTACCATTTTTTCCCTGTTCTCACATCTAAGAGAAACAAAATCTCCCACATTTAAAAAGGCTAACTCCATCTTCATGACTGCCATGGAAAACTTATGAAACCATCCTATATTTATAAATTATTTTATCCAGCTGCAATTTGGACACAAAATTGAAAAAAAAGGGAGGGGAGACACCAAGACTATTCATTATGAAAAAGGACACTGTATATCTTATGAAAGGAAATAATATAAAAGGAAATCTAAATTGCATGTTGCATGTCCAGTACAATTTTGCATGTAAAGAGACAATGATCATCATATTGACCAAATTTCACAACAAAAACATTTCCCCTCATAGATACCTTGAATTATTTTGTATCTTGTTCATTGAGATCCAACTGCAAATTAAAGCTTGTGTTTTCTAAAGCACATCCCTCAGAAAGTACAGTTCCTTCAGTATGTTTTTAAAATGGATTAAATGTCTTGCTTGCAGCACTAGAAAGTAGCATTACCATATTGTAACATTAGTCCTTCTGTGTATTTGTATAATAACAGAACTCTTTGCTTACAGAAATCCATTCTCCCAAACTGATAATATTGTTGGTGCTTGGGTCTGTAGCCCAGTGCCATCTCCAAAGAACAGATTTCTTTGGGGTCAGTGTTGATCCACACGCACATATATAGAAATATACCATATCTTTGGTCTCCATTAAAGCAAAAATGAAATTGACTTTAGGAGCAGAGGAGTTTACCCACCACCCCATCTCTCAAAGCAAGACTGCAGGACTTGCCTCATCGAAAATCTATAAACTTCATTACTGAACTGGCACTTTTTCTTAGGGAATGATTTGTCTATGCCATTATTAACCTTGCCTGTACATTTTCACATCTGCTACCTATTTAATTAGAAGCGAAAGACTGCTTGAAGTTGGATTTATTTAGTCTCTGTGAGGGAGGGAGAGCCAGGTTGATTTACACAAAATGTACTAGCACCAGATATGTCACAGACATTTCTGTATGTTTCTTTTTTACAAGTGTAAACCAAAATCACTGGCTTCTGTACTCAATAGTTCCACCTCAAGAACACAGATTGAAAAGAACTGTTAGCTAATACAAGACTAATACAAGAAACAAACACATTACTGTGTATACATAGTCTTTATGAAGTATAATTTAGTTTTGCTTTAGTATCTGTGAGAAGAGTAGGTTGCTAATAAAACACTAACTTGTCTCCCTGATATAGAGATTAATATCCCCAAAAAAGTTCTTCAAGGCAGCAAAATTGCAGTATAGCCTTGGAATTCCTCTACAATTAAAAAAGGCAGAAACTATTAATGATCTGAAAGCTGGAATTAAGAAAAGGAGACAGAGCATCTATAAATCTTTTATCTCACCACACCTTTGATAAGTTTGTGGAATGCTATCCATGGTCAGAAAATGTTAGAAAAATTAAGGAATAAAGACTATAAATACTGTATTCATCTAGAACAGTTTGGACTTGAACTTTCGAAACTTAAGTTCCTTACACGCCAAGTTACGGACTTTGCTATCAGGTCACTGTTCCTTAGTCTAAGTTTTCAAAAAGGGGGGGACACCGTTTTCTATATCTTTGACTTAGTTAGATCAAGTCAGAAAATGTTTGGCACATGAAAAGTTCTACAGATGCAATTAATACTAAGGAATGTATTTTTTTTACACCCACCTTCTGTATGCACGGCAGAGACATACGTCCAGTTGTAACGTTTGACAATGTCAAGCATGGCTCTGGCTTGTAGAATGTCAGATGGGACTACTCTCAGGAAATACTTGTACAAAGTTTTGTCACTCAAATCAATACTGGTTGCTGAATAAGCAATCTGGGGGATATCGAAGAGTTGAAGCAGATTTTGAACTTGTATAGCCACAGAACTGGAACCAGGTCCAATAACACCAGCAATGGGTTTCCTGGCCCTGACCTGGTGGTGAAATAAAGGGTCAGGCAGGCAGCGTCCAAGAGCATCTTTCTCATCTCGGACAGAGATCAAGGAGTCTCTTATGAATTCAATACTTTGTTCCAAGGCCACAGAGGAGTGCCAGCAAGAATCTCTGATTTCACTGCCTAAAGTGATATTGGGCAACAGGACTGGGTCTGAATTAATTTTATCCAATGTGTGAAACATTGCTTCAACCCTCTGGATGCCATATTGCTCTCGGATCTCCCCACATTTTCTCTCAGGTACTTTCTCAGCTGGGGGTTGGTGATGGACTGAAAAAAGTGCTCCTATAATGACATCACCATCCATTCTGGCTACTGATCTTTGAGCAGAAGCTCCTGTGATCAACACCTTCCTGCCTGCATTCTTGGGGAGGAAGTCCATCTCAAGGAGGATAGCAGGGAAGAAGACCAGCAGCACCCCAATCATTTTGTTGCAGGAAGCCATCCAGATCCAGGTGACCAGTTTCAAGGGCTCTTCTTGTCTGCACATTGTTAAGAACATGAAGAAGGCAATGGAACTCCTTTTACCGATTCACTTTGCAAGGGCCTCCCAATCAAATTACAATATGGTCTTAAAGCAAATAGCCTGAAGGGGCAACAGGAGTCATTCTAGAAGCAAATTTTAGCCTGTTGACAGAAGAGGAAAGAATGGAACACATCAATCAGCTAAAAGTGTGTCACAGCACAGCTCCATAAAAGGTCACTTTCTTTATAAGCATCTTTTCCCACATGCCTAGAATATTAGTAGACACTAAATCAATTGGCTCCAGGTAGTAGGTCACTCTCAGATACTAATTTCAAGGAAAGAGAGGCGAAAGGGGAATGTCACAGCACTACACCCACTGATATGGTCACACTGTATACAGAAACATTTTAGATATAAAATGTAATACAATGGTGCATTCACTGCATGCATGAGTATATGCAATATATAAATCTGAATACGTTGATGAAGAGATCTCTGTGGGACATGCCCAACCACCTTCCTGTGCATCTTTTATGACCAAGGTAAATTGATATCACCTGCAATCACATATTGGGTATGGCAACTGTTATAAGTTTCAGAACTTCCATAGGTGTTTTAATTATTCATCTATGTCTATGTCTGTGTCTGTGTCTATGTCTATGTCTATGTCAACATCTACATATGTCTATAAATCTAAACGGTCCTGTCAAGTACTTGAAGGCTACACTAGTTTTAAACATAATGAAAAAGAGAGGACAAAATCATGGGAAAGGGAAAATGTCGTTTAAAGGTCAAGACAGTTGTTTGAAAAAAACCCAAGCAAGATGCAGCCTTTCCTGCTAGATTCATGGGGCGGGGGTGAGGGTTGATTCTTTTCTGTTATGTGGGGTGGTTGAAAGGAAAGGCTGTAGTTTTACAACAAACATAACTATGCTAGCTGTAGGAAATACATATTAGTTACTAAGGCAACCGCAGGCAAAGTCCTGATGTGCTTTTACTGGCACAGCTTGGTTTTCATGCAGACTTTGGGCAGGAGAGGTGACAAGCCAAGCGGCTAGAGTTTAAGTAGTTTAATGCGATTTAGAAACCGATCGGCCGCTCGTTGGAGATAATTGCTGATTGAAAGAGGGATGCTTCGCGGAAGAGAAGCTGCCTAGGCTCCCTGTTGCATGGGCTGGGAAGTGGCTTTCAGGACCCTGGACAGCGTCCGACACTACCCAACGCATTCCTTCCTTCGGTGGAACAGAGATTTTGACGCGCCAGAAAGCCATTTGCCCCCAATACTTCCGGCACCCGCTGCTTTAATTTTGTAACACACACACACACACACAAACACACACACACACACACACACACACGCCTGCTTTTAACTAGCTTTATCTCGCCTCCTGCCAGTCTCCGAAAATACAGAAATACATACCTGCGGCGACTGCCCTGTGCAGCAGCTTCTCCTCTCCATTTTTCTTGAATGGCTTTGAATGCCTGTCAAATCCCGGGGCGGCGGTGATGGTGGTGGTGGGCTTCTCTCCCTAGCGCAAGGCAGATTTCCAATGGTTCCCCCTCCCTCCAATCTCTCTCTCCCCTGAAGGACAGCAAGCCGGGAATGGGGAGGGCAGGTTGGAGGGTGGGTGGAAGATGAAAGGGGCGACAGGCAACTGCTACTCGGAGAACTTCACATGCGTGAATGAAGGGGAAGTGTGTCAGGCTCCTGGTGTCCCTGCGCGTGCACACACACACACACACGCCACACACACAGAGAGGGAGACGACAGAGAGGTATCTCAAAAACTGGCCGAGAAGCTCAAGACGTCTGAAACGGCATGGGTGCGGAAGGTCTGTCTGTCGTCTGGCTCTCTTGTTTGCCTGCCACGTTGATGCTCAAGCGGGCTGGCAGGCTGGCTGGCCGGCTGCCGCTGGAAGGAGCAACTTAAAAGGACCTACCGGCATCTCGATCCGCGAGGCGGTTGAGCTCCTTCCTGGTCCCAAGCCGTTCATTGCTAGTTCGCCGGTTCACATTTCCCGTGGCCACCGTCTGGCACTCCGCGGCAGCTTGGAAGGGAGATGGGCTGTCCGCGACTGCCCTCTTTCTTCGACGTTGTTCTACCGCATGAAGCAGGAAAAGCGGCGGCGGCGGCGGCGGCGGAGGGGGGCGGCGGTAGCGGAGGGCGAGCGAACAGGTCACTGGAGGCTCCTCTGTTATCTCATACATAAAGATCTGTCCTTTTCTCTCTCTTCTTTCTATTGCCTCTCTCTCTTACACGCAGACGCGCGCGCACACTCAACCTTTTTCTTTGTTGCCTGCCAGGTAATCGAGAGAAAACACGAAAACACGCGCTCACACACGCACACGTACACACTGAGGCATATATCACCACAGGGGGAAGGGCTCGGTTTTGTGTGTGTTCTAGTTCCTGCAATTCATTACTTCCCAGTCACACATGCAAGGATGGGAAAGAGAGTATATGAGAAAAAAGAGGGAGGGAAAGGTTTTCATCGGGATAGACCCTGCAGCCTAATTTTACTTCCTGTTGAAGATTTCCTATTTGAAAGGTTTTATTGCTGCACTTGTGCAATTCATGTTTCCGTTACCATTGACTCAGGGGCATTATTTTTCAACAAAATTAACTTGTTGCATAAACAATGTGCTAGAGCAAAGCAAAATCCTATGGAAGGGGCAGGGACCGGGCTTTTCAGATGAATCTACAGGATGCATGTTAAGAGGCATGTCAGATTAAAATAATACCAGATTGAATGATTAAGTTGGCCTGCTTGCTACACTGACCGAATTGCAGGACTCTGGTGTTTTACTTTATTATAGGGAAGTTAAAGTTAGAGGCGTATCCCACTGGGAACACCAGATACAATCAGAGTTGATGGTTGACCTACTTCTGAAAAGGCAAAGACACCTTGTACAAGGATACGACTCCAAGAAAGTTATTTTCCACCATTTTCTGTGTGGGCTTTTTGTTGTGTTACCTTTGCATAGTTGTTTTCCACGCTATGCCATGTTTTCATCTGTTCTGGCATTCATTTAAAAAGCATGAATAATGTATGTGGTTCATGGCAATATAAAAATTAAAAGCTTGAAGAACACCCAAGGTGATGCACAACCCACAGAAGAGCATTAAATACATAAAACAATGGGAGCCATTGTAATCATTTGCCAATAAAATTAAGCTAAGGATAATAGCTTAAATATCTGTACAACTCTTTAAAAATGCTGAAAATGATCAAAAAGTGTAGCCAAAATTCTGTTCCTGAGATGGGCTGGCACATCTGGGTAGCTGGTTCCAATCTTTAGTGCTGCAAAAGAGACCAATTTAGTACCAAAGGCCACAATTCTCTTACAGTGGAATGCTTCTGAGTTCATATAGTATGTGGGAAGGCATTGGGTTAAATCCATGGAAAAGCCATGAGATTAGATAGTTAACCAATCTACTGCAGAACCAACAAAATCATCATGGATTACATGTACCCTGTGCTAGAATTGTACTTTAAATTGTAAGTAACATTTGAAAATGTTAACTGAGAGAAAGACAAGTCATTTCTGATACATGGTACATACTTAAAACTTACCTATCCAGATAGGGTGATGAAAATACTCTGGTATTTTCTTACCTTTTTGTTTAAGTTTTCCAAATTCCCAGGAGATAACCCCGGAACCTTCTTCATAGATTGCTGCTTTGTCGTGGCGAAGGGGCTTGAGTAATTCAGAGAAGCTATGGGCTATGCTGTTCAGGAATACCCAAGATGGACAGGTCATAGTGGAGAGTTCTGACTAAACACGATCCACCTGGAGCAGGAAATGGCAAGCCACTGCAGTATATTTTCCAAGAAGATTCCGTGGACAGAAACAAAAGGCTAAAAGATATGATGCTAGAAGATGAGCCCCTCAGGTCGGAAGGTGTCCAACATGCTACTGAGGAAGAGCAGAGGACAAGTAAGAGTAGCTCCAGAGCTAATGAAGTGGTTGGGCCAAAGCCGAAAGGACGCTCAGCTGCGAATGCGCCTGGAAGTGAAAGGAAAGTCCGATGCTGCAAAGAAAAATACTGCATAGGAACCTGGAATGTAAGATCTATGAACCTTGGTAAGCTGGATGTGGTCAAACAGGAGATGCCAAGAATAAACATTGACATCCTGGTGTGGGGGGGTTCGTCTACTGACTTATGTAACTCTACATCAGGAAGGACGAAAGAGGCTTCAGAATTAAGAAATAAAGAATTTTTATTAACACATCTTGAGTCAACCTTTTCTTCAACAGTAACTGGATTTTGTAACATCAAATGAGGCGGGGAATCATCCCAAAACCATGCTAATGATTTATCAACAGGTAACTCTTTTAATAGTAGGTTTTCGCACTTTTCTCTTTCTCGGTTGGCATTCTCAGAAATCCGTTGCGGACCGCACAGAGAGTCCCGCAACAAGGATGGCGGGCCCAATCTCCCTCTTTCGACAGCTCTCTCTCTACTTCCGGATCTAATTGATGTACCATCTTCTCTGGACCTTGAGCCCTGTGATACACCAGGACTGTCCATTCTTCAGGGCTAAGGCCAGGTATTATGGGTTTGAACTTTCCCTTCGCTGAATCTTTATACTCTTCGTCTATGTTACCCTCGGCTAGCCTTTTCTGTGGGACTGAGAACACTCTCACATCTTCGTCTGGTTCTTCAGTCACTTTCTCCTCTATCACGGTTACTTTCTGTGTCTCTTTTGACTTATTTCCTTCTTCCGTCGTCAAGAACACGTCTACACTCTCCCTGCCGCGGTTCCACTCTCTCCCCTCACCCTCAACCGATGTCTCCGACCGTTTCTTCCGTTTTTCCTCCTCGCGCTTTTCCCCTCCTTCTCCCTCTCCTATCTCAGCCTCGCGGGTCCTTTCCTCCTCCTTCGCGCGCGCGTCTG